GGAAGACAAGTACTCATGGGAGGCATTAGATTAGGCGGTTCTGCCACAGGTGGTATCAGAGCGTAAATGAGGAAACAAAGTTTTGGAACCTATTTTTAAATTAAAACTTAACAACAAATTCTTTTTAGAAAGTTAGGACATTGCATGCGAAGTTATGTAAGTGGCCCTGTTACTTTGGTTGTGTATCTAGGATAGATGGCACTCTGTTGACTTAGATAGGCGTAATCAAGTTTCTGTAGGTACACTGACCCCGAGCATAGTCCGATAGTATCGACTAGCTATAGGGAGAGAACGATGTGCCAAAAATCTAAGAACGGTTGCCGTATATGTTGGCAATAGTAGAGGGACATATACTATCAATAGTAGAGGGACGTATACCATCAACAGAATTTGCAAATTGCAATAACATGCTATATACCATCAACAGTCTCATTGACATCATCGAAGTCTACCCAGACAGGAGATCGACGCTTACCAGTGGTGGACGATGCCAGAGATGCTACGTCGCTAGGGCTAGGGGCCGCAGCATCAGCACCTACCGCTGTCCCATCCAGGTCGATCGAAGCAACATCACTCCTACCGAACAAGGCAGCAGCAACATCTCCCATGTCATCAATGTCGTCGGGGAGCTACCCTAACTCGATGAGCTCTTCATTGATGGTACGAGGGTAGTGGGTCCCATCATCACCATCATCGCCGGCCATGGCCACCCCACCTCTTCTTCACCTCTCGACACCATACCTCAATGGCTCGTGCGGCACCAGCTCAATGCACCAGGCATTGACCGACGGCCTACGAATAGAGAAAGAGCAGGGTTAGGGTTAGGGTTCATGTGGAAGTGAGGTAGATCTAGGGTTAGGGTTACGAACCTACACAAGCCGAAGCCCAGCGCTGGAGAGACAGAGATGAAGATGCGCGGCGACAATAGCATCTCCCCGACAGATGGTGACAAATGAGATCCACCGGTGGAGGACAGCGAATGGTTAGAGAGAGGGCGGAAGGAAGAAGAGAGTACGAGAGGAGGAAGACGAGAGATCTATAAGATCCAGCGGTGGAGGGGTTGCCGGAGAAGGGGAAGACGACGAGAAAGGCGACGACAATGGCAGGCTAGGCTAGAGAGGCTAGGAGAAAGAACCTTGTCCACAACGGGGGGACGACAAGACGAGATCTCCAAGATCCGACGGTGGAGACGTCACCGGAGACGAGCAGGACGCCGGCAGTGGCAGGTGGTCGGTGGCGGCGAGACGCGACTACGCGAGGTGAGAGCGCCGCAGCGGGGAGCCTAGGAGGCGGGGGGAGTGGGGAATAAAATTCGGGTTTGGTGGGGGTGGGGGGCACCGCGATGGGGCTTATATAGCCCCCCTGGTACCGGGCCGTGACTGTGCCTGCCGTTTTGGACCGAGCCGTGCCATGCCGCCCAGCGGGCCGAGGTGGCGGCCCAAGCACGACCTATGGACCGGGCCGTGCCTGGCACGGGCTGGTGGTGGCCGGTCCGGGCTGGGCTTGGGCTAGGCCAAAATACCAGGCTCTGTGCCGTGCCTTTGGGCCTCGGGCTGCGTGCTCAACTTTAAACCTGCAGAGTACCTGAACTGTTCCACTTCCACCAAGATGTGACGGTTCCAGTTCACGGGCCACTCTGTGGGCCCCTTCATTGCCGCCGCCTTCTGCCTTCCGCTGGAGCACTGCCACATTCTGTTCCGGCCGCCAGAGTGGCCCTGTTCGCTTCTCTTATAATCCGTCTTTTTCAGCTTGTTTTTTCAGCCGGAACAGTGTTTTTCTCTCACAATAAATCAGCCGAAACAACGTTTCGGCTTGTTTTTTCAGCGAAGCGAACGGGGCCAATGTCGTCACCTTCGCCCTTAGCTTCTCCCTTTCTTCCATTGGACCCTAGAGAATCCAGGACGCACACCGACACTCGGGCCCAACTGTTAGTGGCTCTCACTGGAGCTTCTCGATGGAAATAGCAGCATGTAAATTCAGATTCGCCCGAATATATTGATAGTAACTACTCGATTCAGGATCAGGAATACAGTCAATTAACAAAGCCCAATGAGGAATCCATTGGAACCGTGAACCTAAAGATTGAAGGGTCTTTTACTTGTATGCCATTAAAAAAGATGGTCTAATCGTCTATGTCCCTAAAAAGTTCGATCTATCGTCAGTGTCCAAGCTCGAAAAACTTTTCTCTCTCTTGCCATTCTGTCTATTTGCAGCACTAACAGTGTGAAATGTGGGTGGCAAAAGACTTGAATGCTCCTGGAACTTTTGTTTCTCATGTGCCACTGCCTGCTGGGCCGCAACCTGATGGCTCTTGAACCGGGAAGGGGCCAAGCGGGCAGCGGGCACCTGCCTTTGCCGTCGGGCGGTCCAGCCGTCCAGGCGTCACGACTCCCGAGAGCCGCTGCCTCTATATAAGCACCACCACCGTGGCACCACACCCCCAACGGCCCTTGTGTTTCAGACGTCGCAACGAAATCCAAGCGCTATCCATCTCGATGCCTCCCTCTCGTCCACCGCCATGGATCCGACCAGGCAAGGCCGTGACCCCTCCGGACGCGGCGCCTACTACAACCCAGCGTAGTTTCCTGACCTCCCCTCCTCCTCGTGGCGACAGCCGCGGCAGCCTCTGCTTCTGGAGCAGGCCACGCCGCCGCTACAGATGAACCCGCGACCACATCAGGGTGGCGACATCGGGGACCAGAGCTCCACGCGCGTCAGCATCCCTATCAACAGCAACATCTCGAGCTACGACGCGCTCCTCAACTTCCCCATGCCCGGCACCCAAACCTCGGTGCCGCACCGACCGTCGACGTCAAACTTCATCAGCAGCCAGAGGTAGTACCTGCCTCAGCATGGCTCCACCGCTCTCTTCTCCGCGCTCGGGTACGACGACATCTTCAACCCGCACGCCTCCGTCTATCGTCCCTAGGCGGCAGTGGCAGTCTGCGCTCGGCCCGCCGCCGCCCCCGGCTTCGCCGCGCGGGGCGACAACTCCACCAGCAACGACCCGAACACCTTCGCCGGTGTGTCGGTGCACGTCGGGGCCTAGTGGCTAGCGCTCCAAACCGCCAGGCGCTTCAGGATGTCGAGACGAACCCGGCCCTTGTGACGAATCCGGCGAGCTCGGATTGGTTGGCCTTCCTGCTCGATCAAGACAACGGCGAGCTCAGAGCTCATCTGTGTGTGTTTGCTTTGCTGTTGTTTTGCTTTTGCACGGTGCAGGGAGACAGCTCTGAGGGTGCTCATCAGGGTGGCGGCGCGGAACTTCCCTGAAGTACTGCAGCAGCTATTCAGGTGACTAATCGAGGGATGGATGATGGAACAGAGCAAGGGCCCGGAACTGCCCAAGCATTTCGTCGCCACGTTGTCTTACAGCTGTTGCTCGGTATGTAATGTAGCTACCCACAACAGCCCTGGAGGACGACATACGTATTGCTATTGATGGCGTTTTTCTGATGAACTTCCGTTTAGATTTTCACCCGTGAGCTCGCCGTCCCCCGCTTCCGCGACATGGCCACGTCCTATTTCGGGGGGATGAGCGTGATGCTATGCCTGGAGAACGCGACGAAGCATGAGCTCGGCATTGATCTCGAGGACACCATCTTGACCCATGCTGTTGAGATCTCCAAGAAACAATACGGGTGAGAGCTAAGCATATACCATTACAACATGAGTTCATTCACTGCGTGGTTCTTCTCGATCGTCACTCCTAACGTTCGTTGTCAATCTAGAGAAACTAACGGGCGGGCCGGGAAACCTCCTTCCGGCCGGCATTCGCATGCCGCAGCAGCGTCTTCTTGCAGGAACTCTTCAAGAGAGGCCACCACAATCAGCTCGAGGACCGCATCAGGGCGCTCATCGTGGACGATCTCGTGGCGTGGTCCACGAACACATACGGGCACTTCGTGGTACAGGCGTGCTTTCGCCCCCGCGCTAGTCCGTCTCCGGTGCCTCCGTTGCAGTGCGGGCTCGAAGCGTTCTTGCGCTTGCCCGCCGAGCGGCTCCGAGAGTTGGTGATGGACTGCAATGCCTACCACGTCCTCGGCTCGCTGCTCCAAACCAGCGTAGACGTAAGTATTCGCCTATCCTTCCTGTCACAACGCCAACAGTGGGCCCGCGCCGGCCGGCCGCTCGGTCGTTCGTTAGCTGAGACTGGCGTTTCATCAGTGCGGAACGTGCCATGCAGCACGGAGCGGTGCCGGCGGAGGTGATGCAGCTTGCAGAGCGGATCTTGGGGATGCCGCGGACGAGACGGATGCTGAACTCCGTCGTCCGGCGGGTGATCGACAAGAGCAAGCCGTAGCTATTTTGCACTAGTAGTCGATGATTTGCTCCGCTGAGTCAGAGCGCGCCACCATGCCTTAGACTGTACTCCAACTGCGAATTCTGTGTTTGACTTTGATTGATTGGCATTGCTTGCTGACGTACACGGCCAAATGTCTCTGGTTTCTCTGTACAACGCTACGGTAACTACTGTACATCTCTAAACATTTCGTACTGTTTAGGCTTGTGTAGCACGTACTACTACTACTCCGTAGCCAGCATCTCTGTTTGTATCCATCCGCTAATGTTGTGTCATATTAAAAGTCGTTGCAATTTGTGCATGCATGTACTGGTACCGTAAAGGTTCACCGCTCAAGCTGAGACAATTTACCACACAGATGGCTCCCAGCAGGCAGTGGCACATGAGAAACAAAAGTTCTAGGGGCATTCAAGTCATTTGTCATTCATATTTCACACCGTTAGTGCTGTAAATAGACAGAATGGCGTAAGAGAGAAAAAATTTTCGAGCTTAGACACTGACGATAGATCAAATTTTTTAAAAAGATAGACGATTAGACTATCTTTTTTAACGACGTACAAGTAAAAGACCCAACATTGAATTCAGCACGGTAGCCACTAGCCAGTTCACCCAGATGCACAAAGTTCGCCAAAGAAATTCTGGCTCCAATGTTCGACTCCCAAAAGGAACGCAATCGTTCCGGCCGCCGATCTGCTCATCAATTCCTCCTGATCACAGCCCCGTACCTCCCGGCGGCAACCTGCACGGCAAGTCAAAAGCTCAAACCTTGGGATATCATTCAGAGCTGAATAGCTGATAACTGAGAGATTGCTGGACGAGACAGCTTACGGGAGCCCGGCGTTTCTTGGCCGTGTCGGCGTCGTCTTCCTTCGTCGGAACCCTCTGGAAGGAAGCCAGGTCCGTCTTCCTCCTCCCACCGGCAGCCGCAGATCCACCGCCGCCGCCTGGAGCCGCTCGCCTCTTCTTTCCTGCCTGCTGGCTACCACTCTCCTCCGGGTCCTTGAGCATGGAGCAGTACATCAACGTGTCATTAGGCAAGAAGCCTACTGCCACCGCTACTTAGAGTTGAATTTGTGATGGCTGAAGAAGAGATCACTTACTGAAGATTCGATGGGTTCATCGTCATCCGAGTCAATGGTCTGCTGCTCCTCCTCTGTTGTCGTCGAGCACTTCTGCTTCTCAAACACGATGACTGTATCAGTCTGCAGATTCTGGGAGCTTGTTCTTTCCTTGGACTTGGATTGGCTTTCCTTTTCCTGGAGCTGCACAACAACAAGATTACTCAGCTTGTCAGCTTGAAGAAATTAACGACATATATATATCAGTTGATGCCCTACTTTTTCTTGGTCAACGGAGTCATCTTTGGTGGTAGTCAGTTTGTTCTGCAAATTATCCAACCAGAGGTTCTTCAGAATTCAAATTGGATAGAAATTGAAGTTAGAAATGTTAGACAGTTTGGAGTTTGGACATTCAGTCATTCCGGTTGCAGACTAGTTTTTCGTTCATGTAATGTAAACTGGTAGCATATCTTACTATCGCTTCCTCAATGTTTTGCTGCACGCAAGCGTGAAATGCCGTCTTGTCGTCCTCCTTGACAAAATTATTGACTGCACTGTTCAACTCATCTACAGAAAGGATCTCCAGTTTCTGTAAAAGCAAGGATGGGATGAAAAAACGTACAGATTTTTGTTAGCACGCATCAACCTTCGTCGTGCAATTATATGTCTAGAAATGGAATGGTGGACGTCCTATGCAAAAAAGAGAGTGAGACATCTTGACTAGTATTAGAAAGGATCAGGAGGAACTTCAGTACCAAGTTACTGTCTGCAATAAGTGCTTCAACCGTCACCTGGTTGAGGTCATTTGGACAAAGCTCTTCAGAAATGTTGCAGCTTTCTACAGTATATAGATTATAGAAAGAAAGAAGTTCAATAGACCACATTACTCAACCAGAGTAACAAGATTGATTTGCTAATTAAGTAATACATAGAAAAAGATGAAATGCAAAATCTTGTGTCTCATTGCACTAAACAGAAGTGCCAACCATACAAGGCAATAAAAGAGACAGCCTGAAATTACACTCATCTATTTGTTAATATATTTAAACTGGCCACATACTTTCTTGTAACCTTTTTCTCTACTTGTTAATATATTCCCAATAGGGGCTCTGTTTTGTAAAAAAAAAATACACTCATCTGTTTGTTTTCTTATTTGACGTTTTTCAAATTTTATATAGGCTCTCGGATGTAAATTTATTCACTGCATCCTATTAATATATAGCGGTAAAGGTATGATACTATGAATGTACTTTAGCAAGAAAAATAGTAGTATACTTTTCATCAACCAATCTACAATGTTGACTGTCAATATGCTCACAGTAAGATAGTAATATAAATTGATTGGAGAACTAAAAAAGTATTCTAGAACAGAAACTCAACACAAGTACCACTCTTGTCCCATATGAGTGTACCCTAGCATTCCTCTCTCATGTATTGTTTTTATAGAAAACGATAATAGGCATACCTTGCATAGTTTGATGCCTTTGCCTTGATCTTGTAAGAAGAAGGATGTCTTGTGGGTTTGCAACCTACAAGAGCAATGGTAGTAACCAGAAACACTATGTAATAGTAGTATTAAAAAGGATTACATCACATTGCTAAATTATTCCATTATAATTATTTTATGAGATACCTTGCCCACATAGTGTTGACCAAATTGCTTTGAATTTATCATTGAATACCCAGTGTAATCGACCTGAAGAACAATTCAATCTCTTTTATGTTTACAACCTTGGGGGACAAAATTGCCATCAAGAGCTCCTGATTTACCTTTATTCTAACTAATGGAAGCATAGGCTTTGATCCAGTGGGTGCTCCTTGCCTACTCTTCTCAATAAGGTTGTTCACCTGAAGCCACTCTGCTGTCAGTATTTAGTACTATAGATATCCAACAACTGAAGCTTCATTATTGAGGGATCTGATTATTCTGTTCTCGAAGTAATTTAACCAGTCACTGCAACATATTCTTGAAAATGGACTTTTTTTTTACAAAAATACAAGCTATTAGTTGGGGACTTACAACTTTGTGCAAATGCTCACGAATAGTTGCTTCATCACGAGGATCAACATCAATCTGGTCCTCCAGTACAACCTGCATGACATTCTCTTGATGTGCTTGATGACTGAGGTGGACATGAAGTAACTGTAAGAACTAGATTACCTCTGCATACTCAAAAGGTCTAACAGACTGCAGAGGTATTTTGGTTGACCTGTACTCTCTCCCCTATTCAAGGGCAACATGAGAAATAAGGAAATGAAAAAAAGATATTTGAATGTTCGTGCAGCATGTTGCATCAGTACTGACCTTGATTTCCAACAAGAGCACATGCTTTGGCTTTGCTTCAGCATTGATCAGTGAGGTAGCAATTGAGGAGCCTGGTTGGGTGATATGGAAACCCATTCCAGGAACCTCCTGTTAGTAGTTGATAGAATGAAAACAAAGTTAAATTTAAATACAAAATGCATAAAGAAGGAATACTTGACTAAATAAGCATATGTTGCATTTTACCCCCCTCTAAATATGTAATATGTCTTGTTACCTGAGGATCAATCAGACATTCATGCTCATGGCCCCAAATTACCAAGTCCACAAAACGTGGCAAGAGGAACTCACTTATGGCATCTCTAGGACTTCCGCGTGTCCTACAGAATTACAGAGAATAACTTCTGATCAGGAAGCATAACCGCAAAAATAAAATCACAAAATAGTTATAATATCTTCATATCGATGATTTCTCAGTCAGAGATTGTGCACCTCTTTTGGTGAAGGACCAAGATGTTGAACCAGTCAGGGGCCAGTGTCTCATCTTGGATTTCAGGTTGCATCCAGTTAACCGCATCAGGTTCCTGATGACGAATAATACATTATCCATGTAAACAAATGTATGAAAATTGTACAGATCTTAGGGAAGCTATTTGGTGAAGTACATGTAACATTCTCTTGAGTCTCCCATCCTTAATGTTGCCAAGTCCATATAGGGCAATATAAGTTTCACCCTGAAATAAAACAAACTATTCATCAGGCTCTTATAAGTAATAACTGAGTTTCGTTGACATTTCATAGAATACAAAACTCCAAGTGGATATACCTTTCTGATAAATACTGGATAAATTGTTACTTTGCCAACGCCGGTGCATCCAAGATCTGTCTTGCCAAAATAATTCAAAAGATTTCCTGCTGTCAATATATCGTTTACTGACAGGTTATCCTACAAGAATAGAAATAAGTGTATTATAATTTATAAGTGAACAAAAAATACTACCACCGTTTCTTTTTAGAAGGCACACAATAATTATTAATTTCACAATTCAAATTTGATAATCTTTGATTAACAATCAGCTTAGCATATTTGTAGAGTTTTGCATTGAGGTAATAAGACTGATATCATTGGATCCGTACTTTAAAGTGCTTCCGTATGATTATTATAATTTGCTATGACTATAAACAACGTGATCCGGCATAAACTAATGGTTAACATCTTATATCTGGAGAGAGAGAGAGAGAGAGAGAGAGAGAGAGAGAGAGAGTATTTATCCTTTTTTAGGCAGAGAAACACAGAGGAAACAAAATCATAATTCATAATGTCCATACAACTCCAGTAGGATCATCTTGGTTTCCATGTATGGTGAACACGAGCAAGCCAATGTTGTAGTTTGGGTCTTCATAATTCACTTGACCAAACCTGAAAAATCACTACTTGACAATTAGACTGGAACAGCCTGTCACCATATCCGAAAGAATCATGTTCAGGAGTTGAGAGAGAGAATGATGGATCACTGCACCTGTTCTGGAGGCTGGCTGCTTGATCACTAATCACCTGAAACTGTACTGGGCAGTCGTTCATGCAATAGCGCCGCAGGATCTCAATGGCCTTCACCAATGTCGAATTGGAAGGCTTGTTCTCATGAAACAAATTGCCACAAAGGAGTAGGAAATCCACCTGTGTAATTCGTCATATATACCTCAAACTCTTCAGGATTTGTCTAAAAAAATGGTTCATATATATACTCGAATACTGTGTGTAATACAATTGGTAAAAAAAGAAAAAGCATAACATATATGAAGCGAATGACGTATTGTGATAGGACTCGTTGTAATCATCTAAAGATACCAACACCCACTGCAAGGCTTTGAGTTTAGTCTGTGAAAAACATTGTAATCTTTCATAAAGTACAACATGTATGTGCATTGGAAAAGAGAGGGTGCACACACAAAAATAGAATCTTTTGACAGGATCCTTATTATGTACCTTGTTTTTTACAGCCAATGAACATATCTCTTCAAATGTGTCGAAGGAGTCAAATCTGCGCACCTCGTCCTTCTCAAGGTAGCCAAGGTGACAATCCGTCGCCACAAGTATGCGCAGAGTGTTGTCCCCCTTTTCTTCCCTGGAAAACATGATTCAAAAGTTAACTATGATATTGTCATTTGTATGTATGACATTCTTCTCAATCTCAATGAAATGATGCATAAAAATTCTTCGTAATAAAATGATGCATAACTCTCTCTTGTGCTTTTTAGAAAAAAAAGTTTGTAGGAACAATTTTAGCAGCCATGTTCCCAAAAGGGAACGGAAATGTGGAACGTGGAGCGGGAATGGAAATAGGAACATGGAGCGATACTTTATAATGTTTTTATACTATGAGAACGTAAATGTTCTTGGAATGGGAATGGGAATGGGAATGTTCCTGGAATGAGGAACTCGGCCATGATGTGTCCATGTTGCGTGTGGTAATGACAAGCATATATAAGTAATGCTGTGGTTGAGTGAGAACTGGTGCTCCAGAGCTCTCATGTGCCAAATAAAAAAAGTTGCCTTTCACTCGGGAATTTGATGCAACAAATTGATAGTGGCTCTGAACTTTGGCATTTCCTAGACCACTTTATACATGCAATCCAAAGTGATGGGAATTCCATGTGAGGAAAACGTCCACCTAAACATTAATTGACTAGATCACGCACAAAACCAAACACCAAAAATTGTCAAGGCAAATTTTTTCATAGCATAAAATTTGGTTGGGCCATACGGGGCAAGATCGGAGATGATATCAAATCATCAACCCAGATAATAAGAAATATATATGATATCAAATTTGGTTGAATGCTCACTTCCATGCTGGTTTATCTTGCCATGGTTGTTGATATATATCTCCTTAATTAGGCTATTAAAGCAATTGGCAAAATCAAAAGGGGTTTCTTGTGGAGAGGTAGAAAGGATGTAAAAGGTGGCCATTGCTTAGTGGCTTGGCCAAAAGTTTGTCTCCCTAAAGAGCTTCGAGGACTTGGCATTTCCAATATCCAAAATCTCTGTTGGGCACAATGAGATGGTTTTGTGTGCAAAAGAGTGATCCTGGTTGACCATGGAGAGTATTTCAGCTTCAGATTAATAAAAATGTCCAGGCTTTATTCTCAATGGAAGTGGTATCTGAGGTTGGAAATGGTGCTCGATCGGACCCTCTTCTAGTCTGATAAGTGGATCCATGGTTGGAGGTTGGCTGATATTGTACCTCAAGTGTTTGCTATGGTATCCAAAAGACGTGTCAGCAGAAGGACGGTTCTAGAAGTCCTCACGAATCATACTTGGGTATCAGACTTGTAGAGCGCTCTAACTGCTAGAGGCCTGGAGTCATTTATGAATTTCTTGGATTGTTGGATGTCATTTCAACAATAGTCTTGCAGCAGGATGTGGAAGATTCTTTTCATCTGGTGACTCTTTAGTGACGGCATCTATTAGGCAAAATCGGCTTATGCAACATTTTTTAGGGGACAATTGCCTTCCATCCTTGGAGAGGATTTGGAAATCTTGGGCACCTGGAAAGTGCCATTTTTTCATGTGGTTTGTTGCTAGAAACATATGCTAGCTGGACAACTGATCGAGTTGCAAGATGTGGTCTTCAACCTCCTCCTAGTTGCCCTCATTGTGATCAGGATGAGGAAAACATCAACCACCTATTGTTGTCATGTGTTTTTGCATTTTTCTCAAGAAATATGGTTCTCCCTCCTGCAAAGGGTTGGTGTGCATCACCTCTGTCCTCAAATGGAAGACGTTTGCTCTGAGGAATGATTTGTCTTATTCAAAAGGGCCTTAATTTCCTTGTGATTCTAGTAGGTGCTTGGACTCTTTGGAAGCATCACAATAGGTGTGCTTTTTATGGTGCTTCCCCTAGTGTGGTTCGAGCTTTGCTGCTCACTATGGAGGATATACATCCTTTGGGGTTTGGCCAGAGCACGAGGCGTTAAATTTCTCCTTGCCCTTATCCCAGAGGAAGGTCAAGTGGCCTGTATTTAATATATGTGGTCGTGGTTGGTCTATTGTTGTAAAGGGCACATTTCTTGGTTCTACTATCTAGGTTTGGTTTCGGTTTGTGTGGTTCTTTAGTAAGGGGTCTTACCCCGTGTTTTGTTCTCTTCTTAATATAATGGCATGTAGCTCCGCTGCGTGTTTGAGAATTTTTTTTTGGTTGAATGCTAGATGTGAGCATGAGTGCACCAGATGAGGTAATTAAAATTGGCAAATATGGTCATGATTAAATGGACATTTGGTTGTTTTACACAATAAGAAAGGGAGTTACTTGTGCAACACAGATAAAAAATCTACTAGTACCAGATTCTAAGTGGCCTTTTATGTCTGCAAACTAATTATATAATCGAATGACAGTTGATGTCTCTGTGCTAGCTTATCTATTACATCATCTATTTTGTACTACTATCTGCAGTGAGTTGTTTTTTTATTTGCCATTACCAGGTGACACAACAGGATTATGTGTTATTGTCAATTGTGTGCACACAATGCAAGTTCATATTCTACTTTACAGTTTTAAAATTTGTTAAACAAAACTAACTAAAGATTTTCCCCAATTAATTAATTGTGGTATATGGACGTGGACTCCGGTGTATGAGAGAATTATTATATGATGTCAACAAGAAAGGTAGAATAAACTTGGTTTTATTATATATTTTAACTGTATACCCCTTTGTTCTTTTTTACATGTCACATTAGCTTTGTCCTAAGTCAAATATTACTATCTTTGACTTCCATTTCAAAAAAATCCTTATAGTTTCACAACATATGAATTATAATTATGAAAATATTTTTCATAGTGAATCTAAACATAAATCTTATTTCATGAACCTATATAATGTTTTTTAAATCAATGGTCAAATATATAAATGTTTGACTTATGACAGAGCTAATATGACATCTAAATAAAAATGGAGTATATATCATTATGTGAATTAAAGTTAATTCATAAATGGGACGTTCATAATGAAATGGAGAGATCATTAAGCTAGTTGTCAATAAATAAATGATGTACCACGCACATGTCCATGAAATGATAAGGACATGCAACCAAGGCACCAATATCCCCATTATTCTCGATGGAAAATAAAATTCTCTCATAAGTTTACAAATAAACTACAATGAACTAGCATAAAACTAGAGAAACAATTGCTTTAACTAACAAGCATGAATTACAACGCAAAGAAACAACAAATACCTGACAACAACATTTTATGACTAGAAATGCTGAAATGCACTTACACTAGAATGTGGTGATTAGACATCAGTAGTGACTTTTGTAAAGTTCCGTAGTCATTAAGCCAACCCCTATTTTGGTTATGGCATCCATCACCTTTATCACTTTAAATTATGACCCGTCACCATATGTCCGTGTCTCTACTTTGATTACATTTAGATAACCATATGTTTGCTCAAAGGAAAACATGCCAAATAATATTGATTATTAATTAATACCAAGAAATTCTCAGAAGATGACAAAAAAGACCACCATAAGGGTGAGTTTGGCGTGGCTCTTCCGATGCCTTCTAGTACCAAACGGCGCCAAAGAAAACAACTCCAGACATATGGAGCACCATGGGAGCCCGAGCCGTTTTCAACTAGATAGTAAGTATATCCCACTGTCACTAGACTAGTTCATTGTGAATGATTTGTATGATGGCAATGACACTAAGCAGACTAGTGGCAAACGTGGATATATAAAACAAAAAACAAAGAAAACAGAAGAGAGAGAGAGAGAGAGAGAGAGAGAGAGAGAGAGAGAGAGAGAGAGAGAGAGAGAGAGAGAAGGATGGCAACATATTGTATAAAACCAAACTGGAAAATCAAAATGATGTCAGCCTTATTAATGGCAAAATCAATATCAAGTTATCAATCCATTATTTACTATAGGGAAAAACAATGTGTGTATACATTTAAACTTGCTAATATATGCGCAACAAACAATATACATTGCGAGATTGATGTATTTGAGGATAGGAGAGACTTGAGGCAGCAGAGAAGCCAACATTCTTAGTTACAAGCAATCGCATGTAAGGTTGTTGCACTGACAAAATAGGATTGGAAAAGGATTGATCAATGAGCGTTGGCGTTGTGATAGATATATATCATGTCCTAATCCAACTGCAATAAGCCCGCTAGCAGCATAGTGTGGTCTTTTGATAGTCCGGACAAAAGTCACTCACATCCCAACTCCTTGTATAAGAGAACTATATGATGGTAAGGAGAAAACAAAATTTAAATATGATTTTGGTATTGATTTATCTGGTGAGTTTAGCTTTAATTTATACATGTCATTATGGAAGTTCCACAAAAATAACTATATACTACTAATGAGGAAGCTAATCATGAGTACAAACGATAAATGCCAAATTCAAGAGATATTCTTAGGGAAAGGAAAAGAAATAAGGGTAGATACGTCTTTTGCCAACGTCCTTAATCTATCCAAAAATTTTCAGAAACTTATTTATTATGGGGGTGGGGGAGTATTTTTTTTTCAAATAACCTTAAACCATGTACGATGTCAATTAATTATGGAGATCAGTAATAAGAATTTTGCATTTAGTTGTGTATATGAAGACAACCTGAATTTATTTACCATGTTTAATTGGAGATGAGCACATGCATAGCATATACTACCATGTGCATGAAATGATAAGAAATTACAATATCGGTAGTCACCTTTTGATGGTAAATATGACCCCTCATAAAGTTATAAACTATAACAGATTGATTAACATTGCAGTGTAGCAACTTGCTTTATTTAACATGCATTAGAGACAACAAATAAAACACCCAACAACATTTTTGATGAAAAATCACGTACTAATTAATGTGGCAAAAGTTTGTGGGGGGAAATCTGGCCTTTAATTTGCCATCAAATCAACACCTAACTTTGGTTATGCTATAACCGATTAGGATCCTGTTTCATTATTGTACCAAGCCCATGTCAGTTTCACTATATATAATCAATCAGCTGACCATGCTTAGCCGAACAAAAACATCGTACAACCAAGAAATCCTCCACACAGGTGAAGAAAAATGAATTGTGAAGGAGCACCGTGAGTCTCTATATAGATCACTGCATTATTGCTAGCACTTACGGCCTCTGGCCTCGTATATTCCGAAAGATTCTGGCATGCATTTGATCAGGGCGAATCCGCCGGCCCCCTTGGGCTGAATTTTCATGGAGTACGTCTTCAATTTTTAGTATTTAGTGATTCACAAATTAAGTTATATTGTAGAATATTAGAATGAAAAATATTTTGGTAAGAAAGATGCACTTTGAATCGATACCGTAAGCCTTGTATTATTTAGCCCCCCTCTTACTCAGTTTCTAGATCCGCCGCTGCATTTGATAAAAAAAGTGGCGAAATGGATAAAAAATTGCATAGTGGCAACTGACAAAATGGATAAAATAAAACCGAAAAAATGAAACGACGCGAGGGAAATTAAAAGAGAGGTTAAACCAGAAGATGTCAAGGTGCGCGGTACGTAAAAAAAAAATGCAAAATCAATCATATATACGTCTAAATCTGCTGATGTAGGCCACCGAGATATATATACATCAATATGCTGGAGGAGCCAGGATTCCAAAGTCCAAACTAGAAGAAGCAACAGCGCACCAGATAGTGTAGTAGTGGTAGCTGCGACTCTACAATCGTAGAGCTGAAGCCTGAAGGAAATCCAAATCAAATCAAATCAAACCATGGACTCGGAACAGCGGTTGCGCAGAGGAAGGGCGCTGCACTGCATGCCTGCCCTAATCGAACTCTTAACACAGCAACGCGCCGCGGCGGCCGTCTAGCTGGCAGATCAGCAGCTGCAGAGGGCACTCACATCCTGGCGCTGGCGTCCGTCGTCGCCGGCGGGGGAGATCTATTGCAAGCTGCTTCTATTGCAAACCGAGAGTGCCTCAGTGGTCAGCGCGAAGGCTTCTATTGCAAGCTGCTTCTGTTGCAGTTGCAGGAGGCACGGATAAACTGGTAGTAGTAAGCTTGCAATAGAAGCAGCTTGCAATAGAAGCCTAGCCGTTTCGTGATCTGAACGTTGGGCCTGGGCTCAGAGCGGATTTAGATCAGATGAAGTGCCACGGGAACGGGGAGGCCCATACGGCCCACACAGCCCAGCAGCGCCAGCGATCCATCCCTTTCCACCGGCTCGGCTCCTGGGCTCTCGGCGAGCTCCCACGCGACGCGACGCGACGCGACCGCCGCAGCGATCCCGCCGGTCGTCCCGTCCCCCTCACGAGTAGCTTCGGCGCCGGCGTCCTCTACTGCCTCCGCTCCGCAGCTTCTCCCTCAGACCTCGGCAAGTCTCACTGATCCCCCGTGGCTCCGGCCATGGAAGCCGGCGGAGGCGGCGGCCAGCTCTTCTCCGTGGACCCCCTGGAGCGCCAGGCCGCGCGGGGCCACGGCGTCGTGACCTCCATGGCCGCCGGCAGCGACGTCATCGTCCTCGGCACCTCCCGGGGCTGGCTCGTCCGCCACGACTTCTCCTTGGAGGACGCCCACGGTAAAGTCTCCCCCGCCCCCCGCTGCCTCCCCTCCCCTCCCCATCCCCTTTCCGCATCCCGGCATTGCCTCACCTCCCCGCCCCGCGCCTGCAGATCTCGACCTCGGGAGCGGCCGCTCCGGCGACCACTCGGTGCACCGGGTGTTCCTGGACCCCGGCGGCAAGCACTGCGTCGCCACGGTGGTCCACCCTGTAGAATTGTATAGGCCAACTCGACGGCTTGTATTGATCGTATATGGTTTACATATATAGGTTACAAGGGCCTTTGGCCATGAACACACACACGCACTATACACTGAGTGGATGAACGCAGGATGCGGGCGCCGTGGAGACTGGGCGTGCGTGTGTGCGCGACGGAGCGCGCTCTGCGGAGGCAGTTGGCGAGCTGAGTGCGCGAAACCGTTCGGGAGTGCGTTGGACGCGGGCGTTGGACGCGGGCATGCTGAAGACTCGGCGCTCTTAGCCGTTGGAGACGTTGATCCGCTGACACACCCGGGCGGCGCCGAGACGTACTACCACCACGCGAGGTGGCCGCGCCCCAAGCCCCTCCCCCGCCTCCGGGGCCTCCTCGTCAATGCCGTCGCCTGGAACCGCCAGTCCATCACGGAAGGTGATCCCCGAACCCCTCCTGCCGATTCTATCATCTTCTATTGGGTTCGTTCATTCATTCATCGTTGATCGGCTGATTTTGGTGCCGCAGCATCGACCAAGGAGGTGATCCTGGGCACTGAGAGCGGCCAGATATTCGAGATGGCCGTGGATGAGGCTGACAAGAGGGAGAAGTATGTGAAGCCGCTCTTGGAGCTCACTGAGCAAAGGGAGGGCATCAAGGACCTGCAGGTTTCGGATACTGTCAATCGCTGCTGCTAAATAGATTCTTCTGTTTTCACTGGAGTGGGTTTGATTGCGCAATTGGTTGTGCAGATGGAGACTGCTGTGGTTGGAAATTCTACAAGATACTATGTCATGGCTGTCACTCCGACACGGCTTTACTCTTTTACTGGCATTGGTTCACTAGAAGTAAGTATAATTCTCATGCATTTTGATCGATATGTTGAGGGATTATCCTGATTAAATTAGTTGGGAAGGCGAGTTTGCTAGCTTGAGACTTTGATGTCATTGTTACTGTCAGTGCTTATGTTTTGACTTTGAATGCTTTATTTTTTGGAGAGCAACACCACACACTATACATTTTCTTTAAAAGGGTTTCCATTGTATTTTATATTGAAATTTGTGATGTCTTTAATAACAACTGTACTGCACAGACTGTTTTTGCTAGTTATTCCGATCGTGCCATACACTTCATGGAGCTCCCAGGAGAAATACCTAATAGGTAACCAATGCGATTTCTACAGTGCTCAAGAGTAGGCAGCTGCATTTATACACAGTAGTTTTGTGTGTTTCTAACATGTGTCCATTGGATGCCACCCAGTGAACTACATTTCTTTATCAAGCAAAGAAGGGCTAAACACTTTGGATGGCTTTCTGGATCTGGAATTTATCATGGTGAACTGAATTTTGGGGCACAACACAGGTGAACCACTGAATTAGCCTTGTACTCTAGTACATTGGTTCTCCTTAGTTGGCTAAGCCTTGGCTTGGCTCATTAGGCATGCAATCTACCCCTGCATTCCCAAATGCATGTATTCTTTTGGGAATACATGGTCAGACTATTGAACTTTGACTACTAATGTGTAATAGTACCTTGCTTGCCATGTGCAAAGTGATATATGTAGATTGCACATTGTTGAAACCTCGACACCTGTTATTAGCTTTGTACACTGATACTGTGATATGAGTTAATTATCATCAGCTTCTATTTGGAGCAGGAGTACACCATATAAGATGGTCCCTGTTTGATGTTTTGGTATTCTAGACTTTAAAGATGCAGCAACTTTGAACTTCATAACCTCCTCGTCAATGCCGTGCTGGACCGCGCAGGTGTTGCTACTTGAGCTTCTCTTTAGTAGTAGAGCTGTAGCTTACATTGAATAACATGTCTCTTTCCAAAAAAGCTCTGTCACTGACTCCTGCAGGTTTGCTGTCAATCTGGATTCTTGCTAAAGAATCTGAGTTGGGTCGATGGAACTGCTTATCCTGACGTATTTTAACAATAAACCTCATCTCAAGAAGCCATGCCAAATTAAGGTTTTTGCTAGTTATTCCGATCGTGCCATACACTTCATTAATAGGTAACCAATGCGATTTCTACAGTGCTCAAGAGTAGGCAGCTGCATTTATACACAGTAGTTTTGTGTGTTTTCTAACATGTGTCCATGGATGCCACCCAGTGGGAAAAAATCATGCTTTTTGTGTGTCAAAATTTGAGGACTGCGTTGGATACTGTCAATCGCTAAAACCGTCGCTTGAACTGTTAAATTTTGGGAAGGCTGTGATGTTTTTGTTTTGCTTTTATTTTTTGGAGAGCAACAATCACACACTATATATTTTCTTTATTTATCATGTGATGCTTTGAATAACCCGCTCAGGAGAATTTTGGTAACGTGCGATTTCTACAGGCACAGGCAGCTGCATTTATACAGGTGAAAAATTCTTGCTGTAAACATTGGTTCTCCTTAGGGCTGCCTTGAGCTGTAGAAAAAGCTGAAAGGTCTGTTTGGTTAAACAAGTATAAAATATACCTTTTATCTTTATCTCTCTTGAAACAACTATGGAAGAGCTTTTGATGTTTTGGTATTCCACCAATTTGAACTTCATAACCGCAAAGCTGTAGCAAAATAACATGCCAAAAAGGCTCTGTCAAACCAAAGAATCTGAGTTGGTCGATGGAACTTTCAAAAATAAACCTGAAAATTAAGGCTACTGGTTGAAAAGCAAAAAAGCTGCTTAAATTTGTGGTATGTGGAAAAGCTGCTGTAAGGCTGTGAGCTGTAGAAAAAGCACCCTCCAAAAACAAGCCCTTTATCTCTTTGGGCTTTTTATTCCACTTTTGGGGCCAAAAAAAGCAGGGTCAAACCAGCCAAAAATGCCAAAAAGCCCAACCAAAAAGGACCTAAGTCTCCAAAGCAAAAGCCCAACAGTAAGTCTGGAGATTTTCCCCCCATTAGGTCACCATATCTTTGTAGTGCTATTTTTTGAGCTTGACTTTCATGGTGTAGTACTCCATCCTACCTCTGCATCTGATTAAAGGAAACACAATATATTTTCTGGATTTTCTTCACTATGTTTTTCCTGACTCAATTTTGTTTTCCAGCTCTACTAGTGGAGATGAGAATTTTGTGGAGAATAAGGGTTTTTTTTACTATTCAAAATTGGGGGATTCCGGAATTAAACCAAGGTCATTTGCTTTGTCTGAATTCCATTTTCTGCTTCTGATTGGGGACAAGATTAAGGTATAAGTTTCTCAAAAGTTTATCTTTACACCATTTCCCTGTAAGTTGTTTTGTTTTCTCATACTATTTTTTTTCCTTTCCCACTATGGTGTGTATTTCTTTACAAAGCCAACGCATAACCTGAAATTTTTAGGTAGTGAACAGAATAAGTCAGCAGATGGTGGAAGAACTTGTAGTTGATGATACACCTGAAATTTCAAGAGGAATAATTGGCCTCTGTAGTGATCCATCTACAGGACTTTTCTATGCATATGATGAAAGTTCTATATTCCAGGTTTGGGATTTTTGGGTTCTTGCTTTGAGTCATGTAATCAATGCTTCTAGATTTGCATTGCTAATGCTATCAATTATTTAGGTTTCCACTTCAGATGAGGGTCGTGACATGTGGCAAGTTTACTTGGATATGAATCATTATGCTGCTGCTTTATCCCATTGTCGTAACCCTTACCAGCGTGACCAAGTCTACCTAGTTCAGGTATTGTTCATATATCTTGACGCAGCGTCCAACTTTATGTAATTTGCATAAGAATCCCACATGCTCATTTTTGCTTCTATGTTCCCCTTCTGTATGGTGATAAGCTGGAGTTTCTATTTCGTTCTTAAGATGATCATTGGTTAATGACTTCAGTTCTAATAATGTTCTATATAAATCTTTGTTTTGCAGGCTGATGCTGCATTTGCTGCAAAAGAGTATTACATAGCAGCATCCTTCTATGCAAAGGTGATACTTTACTGTTATTTGTGCCCTGTGGTAACATTTATTGTATTTATGTTGTTTTTTCGCATTGAGACTGCAAATTATATCATGTGCCCTGTGGTAACACTTTGCTTGGTTATAGATAAATTACATCCTGTTGTTTGAGGAGATCAGCCTGAAATTTATATCAATAGGTGAGCAGGTAATTGTACTCAAAACTCTCTGATGCAGTTATATATTGCATGTGAAAGTGCTATGTTTCTTATCATGTGTGAAAGTGCTATGTTTCTCTGTACCCTTATCAGTCAATTGTGTGTTATCATAACTCATAAATTGGTATAGTTCTGTGAGATCAACTTCTGTTGATTTAATTCATTTTACGTATCCCTTATCACGACGCATAAGATTTTGTGTTGCTATTTCCGAGGTTAATAATGAGAAATACAATAACATTAAGGTTATGTATTTTACTTAAAGGAAGCTTCCTTTGATGATTTGACACACTTCTGCTCAAGCTGTGCACTACGTGTGTTTTTATGGGCATCTTGGATTGTTTTTTTTTTTCTCGAGCACGCAGTAAGGAAGAAAAGAGAGTACATAGAGTACAAGGGAAGAAGAGTCCCCAAACAAAACACATTCTAACACAGAAACATATAGCCCAGTGGAGGGCTGGACTCAATCACCCCAAATTCATGACCTGATATGGACATCTTGGAATTTTGTCTGAAACTGTGGACCATGTCTACTTGTCAGGATGCTCTCAGAACTTTCTTATTGAGAAGGCTCGATAACCTCACCAAAGATGACAAGATGCAGATTACGATGATCTCAACTTGGGCTACTGAGCTATACTTAGACAAGGTGCCTGCCATTTCATTTTCCAGCTTCAGTATTGGGTTGAGTAACCGCCTTTCCAGATCTTATTCACTGTTTTTGTAGTTTTGTAGATTAATCACCTCCTGTTGGAGGATACCACTGCTACCACTACAAATTCAGTAGCAGAACCTAATAGCTCGGAATATCGTTTGATAGTAAATGAATTTCGTGCTTTTCTTAGTGACAGCAAACATGTATTAGATGAAGCAACAACAATGAGACTACTGGAAAGGTATGATATATCATTGTCGAGAATTACGTTTCAGTTAGATTTTTATTTTTAATTCTGTATATATACAGTTATATTTAGGACTACAGATACATGACTTTAATTTACAATAAATAAAATGCAAACCTGAATACTTGCAATGTTGATAAGCACTTTTGAGAAAAAAAAGGATCATTAACTTCAAGGAACTAAGGTAGTCAGAAAGATTGTACCGTCTTTTTTGCTTATAGTTTTCCCATAGTCACCCTCATACCTGGGGAACGTTGTCCGGATCATTTCACAATTAGTTTATCACATTCCTCGACCCTGTGGACCCAGGAACTTTGCGACTTTGGTTTCACCTTCAGTAGCATACTTAGCAGCAAAAAAATGATGTGAGTTGACTAATAAATAGATAAATGTAACAGTGCCATACTGCCATTTCTTTAGTTTAGATTATTATTCCATACTTGTACTGCATGAGGTGCCCTGACTTACCACTTCAACTTTTGCAGTTACGGAAGAGTGGATGAGCTAGTGTACTTTGCTGGTTTGAAGGAGCAGTATGAAATTGTGGTTCATCATTACATTCAGGTGTGTTTAATTATATGAACATTTATCATCTCAGGAAATGTGTAGCGCTACAATCATTGAACCTAATTTATATGTTTTTAACTGTAGTTGGTACCCAATTTTCACAGCTGACATACTATCTGTTATATCATGTTTCTGCAAAGCACACTCCCATAAATAACATATACGCTGCTGGGCTTTAGGCCTACTCGAGTTCAAAAAGGCACCAGGACTTGCACAATCCCATTAATTGTTTTAACATAAGCAGCTGAGACTGGTTGTGCATAGGGTCGGTTTGTGGTTGTTGTATTGTTCTTGGCTTGGGTAGGGTTCAGGCTGCAATGATCTTGCATTATCTCTATATTTCTACCATTGAATACACCTTTTATATTTTCTTTGAACAATTATAATTCTTAAACCAACTTTTTTTTCTTATGTAAGTAAACAGAAAGGAAAAAATTATTTGAAGTTGAACATTAATGCATAATTGTATGTCTCAACACATGTGCATTGTTCTACTAGCACTGACCTTTGTTATTTTTGGCGTGATTACCACCTGTCTTGTTTACACATCTTCAGTGTAAGTCCATTTCTTTGGCCACAATCAATTGGATTTTCTGGAAACAGTTACATTTCAGGACACATTCTTGTACTTAGATGAAGTATCATTCATCTTTTACTATGCACTCAGTGGCTTCAGTTGAGACACCAGGTCTAATGTTTTTTTCCATTATTGTGTCAGCAAGGAGAAGCAAGAAAAGCATTGGAAGTGCTTCAACGGCGCAATGTTCCTGTAGACCTTGTGGTACATAATTCTGTTCTTTTAATGATCTGGTTTTTAACTTCAAAATTTTCATGCTATTTCTACCTTATTAAATTTGCTTATTTGTTTTCTTTCAGTATAAATTTGCCCCAGATTTGATCATGTTAGATGCTTACGAGACTGTTGAATCATGGATGATGGCGAGAAACAAGTTGAATCCAGGGAAACTCATACCAGCAATGATGCGTTATGTGAGCGAACCACATGCGAAGTATGTTATGCAGAAAGTTTATTTTACATTCTTTCTTCCATTATAACATTATATCCATGGTCTTCATATTTTAACAACTTTTCTGCAAAGAAAACATCATGTCAGAGAACCATATATTTTTTCTATTGTGAAACTTTTGTTATATTTCTCATTTTATTTATGTAGCTTTGGATGGAAAGATAACTCCATTAAACTTAAATCTGAAGCTGTCCTTCCAAAACTTTAAGTCAAACCATAAAATGCTTTTATTTCATTGTTTCTTAAGCTCCGGAGAAAACTGCAATTTAAAGTGGCTAACATGGTCTTCTGCAACGTGCATGGTGTAATGAAATTATGTTTGTGACTCTTGCAGGAATGAAACAAATGAGGTTATTAAATACTTAGAGTTTTGTGTGAAAGATTTGAACAATGAGGATCCTGGAGTGCATAATCTGTTGTTATCACTATATGCCAAGAAGGTAAATCCTTTTGCCATGGCGCATTATTTTTTCTCATGCTTTATGCTAACAGCTGGATCCTTCTGTCATTCTTTCAGACTGCAAACAAAACACATGTCTTAATTTATCGTCACATTTACTTTGTGTCTGTTGGACACAATAATGTTTGTGCTTGTGCATAGTAGCAATATTACATCTGTTGCATTCATGCCATATTCAGTTTTTCTTTCGAGGGAATAAATACCCATATCCATAAGGTTAAGTTGATATTTGCATACATGAACCCATTATAATGTTCATGTACTCTGATCTACTAATCTGTAGGAGGATGAATCCCAGCTTTTGCAATTTCTTGACACAAAATTTGGTAAAGGACAAACAAATGGCCCCGACTTCTTTTACGATCCCAAGTATGCTCTCCGCCTATGTCTTCAAGAGAAGAGAATGCGTGCTTGTGTTCGTATTTACAGCATGATGTCCATGCATGAGGAAGCTGTGGCACTTGCTTTGAAGGTACACCTTATTCCTTCCTAAGTTCCATCTCATTAGTAGTTGTGCCTCTCCATGTTGATAGTTTAATTCTTCGTTTTCCTATTTTTCTTATACTTTGTTTGGTTCTCACTAGGTGGACTTAGAACTTACAAAGGCGGAAGCTGACAAAGTAGAAGATGATGAAGAGCTTAGAAAGAAGCTGTGTCTTAAGGTTGCTAAACATGTCATCGAGCAAGAGAAAGGAGTCAAGAGAGAGAATATAAAGAAAGCAATAGAGTTCCTTTCGGAGACCAGTAACTTGTTAAAGATTGAGGATATCTTACCATTTTTCCCAGACTTCGTATTGATTGACGATTTCAAAGTAAGATTAAGAAAATTTCTTAAATTTCTAGCTTTATTAAAAATATTATCTATATTCTTCAGTTCTTTCTTCAGTTTGAGATTCATGTCACTTGTTGTCTGTAACCTCTGTTCTATGTTTGTGTTCTATAATTATGGAACTGCTTGAACAGGAGGAAATATGCAAATCTCTCAAGGACTACAACAGCCAGATTGAGCAGCTGAAACAGGAGATGGATGATGCCACACGTGGGGCAGACAATATCAGAAGTGATATTGGTGCCCTCGCTCAGAGATATTCCGTAATTGATCGTGAGCAGGATTGTGGGGTAAGGCACTGGTGATCGTAGTACCCAAAATACTCCAGTACACCTGTTGCAGCCTTTTACGTTGATTTACTTCCCACCTTTTTGCATTTCTGAAATTCAAACATATGGAATGATACCTGTGTATTTCTTTTGCCCCTGAGTGTATTTGGATTCTTTACCATTTTGATAGACATGGTTGTATGAATCTATGCTTGCTTTTCAAACTCTTCTGCACTACTGTTGTGATGCTAACTTCTGTCCGGACCTAACAGGTTTGCCGGCGCAAAATATTGACCGTTGGAGGGTTACACCAGGTAGGAAGAAGCTATACATCTGTTGGACACATGGCCCCCTTTTATGTGTTTCCCTGTGGACATGCCTTCCATGCAAATTGCTTGATTGGACATGTAACTCGTTGCAGTAACCAGGTGCAAGTAAGTCTATCTACAATACTTCAATTGATCGTTGCGATATTCAACAATAAAGCAGGCTTATGTTTAATCTCCTATACCAATCATTTATGGATGAGTTTGTTATGTAGGCTGAGAGAATATTGGACCTTCAGAAACGGCTTAGTTTGATGGACAGGAAAGCAGCAAAAGAAAATGGGGCAAGTGTTAATGGTGAATCTATTACAAGCACAACCCCGGTTGATAAGGTCTGCAAATATCTGAATTCTCATACCGTTCACCCTGCAGCTGCTTTGCTGATGCAGTCAATCATTGTTTCTGCAGCTGAGATCACAGTTGGATGATGCTGTAGCAAGCCAGTGCCCCTTCTGCGGTGATCTGATGATCAAGGAAATTTCGCTGCCGTTCATTATCCCCCAAGAGTCGGATGAAAAGGCATCGTGGGAAATCAAACCACAACCAACGCCGCAGAAGATTCTCCCAATGACCATGTCTATATGATGCTTCGGACAGTACAGCCTAAGATGGAATTGGTTTTGAATTTTTACCTGGTTTTGACTTTTGACACTCCTTGTCTTAATCTTTTTTTGCTGTGGTATATGGTATTTCATATCCTCTTGCTGTTGGGTGATTTTTTTTTAATATATTTGCCCAACTTGTGTATTAGTTTGACCCCTAGAACACTGTGGTCAAGAGCGCCTTCACGCTGTTTGTGTACAGAAACATCAGTCGCTTCGTTTGTGAGTTTTGTATAGGATGCATCGAGCTATTGTGTTGGAAGATCTCGGTACACTTGTGAATTGATATATATATATATATATATATATATATATATATATATATATATATATATATTTATATTTATATTTACTTAAGTATACAACGATGAAGTCTTGCTCTAGAAATATTTCCATTTTCACGACAGGATAATTAAACCTGCATGAAAGTATGAAACGTTTGTTCAACGGTTTGTTGGTAGAGCTCTGCTCTAGACTATCTGTGGAAGCTGATTGTTTAAGAAAAGTGTTTTTTTTTACTAAAAATATTTATATATATGATTCTATAGGATAAACTCTATGCAAATAGTGACTTTGTGTGTGGAGTGAACTAGACATGCCATTACTATATCCACATTAATTCAAGGTAGACTGATTAGTCCCAATGATGACAACTAAAAAAAAAAAATTTGTATGTTCACATGTGATTCTTCCTTAAGCTCCCTTTGGCACGGCTCATCCAAAACGGCTTCACCGGTGAAGCTAGAAAAACTAGCTTTTTCCGGTTTCTAGTTCATTTTAACCCCGGCTTACAAAACGGCTTCACGCTACAGTGCCTCGATTTGCACAAAATAGATGAAGTCGAAGCCGGCATAAGCCGTGCCAAAGAGGCCCTTAATATGAGTGCACACGCAGTTATTGTAGGTGGTTACCAAATATAGAAAGAAATCCCGTTTTAGGAAAACACTCTATAATATGGGTAACATGGTCATTCCCCTTATGCTAATCTGTCAGAAACTTTTAGGATGCCAATTTTTTTCGGACAGAGAGTTTTTTTTTTGAGGCATTGGACTGAGTTTTTGAGAACACAAAACACAAGGAGTATATGAGAGAGAGTGGAAGAAGCCAGCGTGAGCAACACTAATCTATTTTTAGATAAAAAAAAACTGAATGTCACCCCTGACACTACACGCGTACCCCATCTATTTTATAACAGCCAGCGTGAGCAACACTAATCTATTTTTAGATAAAAAAAAGTGAATGTCACCCCTGACACTACACGCGTACCCCATCTATTTTATAACAGTACGAATGTTCAGGTGGTTTTCATTTCTCGTTCAGCATAGAACGCTGCAAATGCCAATGAAAGTCTGAATGTCAACAAGAATCATCTTTTGCATGCATGACCGAGAAGAAATAGTAAAGACTAAAAATGGATCGAAAAGGTTAAGACCGGCACATGGATAAACATGACGTCTAATTTTAGCAGTTTACGAGGCAGTGCAAGGAGTGATCAGAAATCGCAGCTGCGTCTCATCCGTCAGTGCCGGCACTGGACGAGGATCGCCGCCGCTGCCGCCGCCTCCTCCATATAAAGAAAGTCGCCGCGCGTCTCCTCCACCAGTTAGGCGCCCCCGGCCGGCCACCTCTCCCTTGCATTGGTTGGTTCCTCGTCTCGTGTCGTTTCTAGGCTCGCGTTGCCAATTGCCATTGCCCAGCTGCTGCTGCAATGGCAGGCGGCGTGGTAGTGAACGCGGCCGGGGGCAAGACGTACCCCGGCCGCATGACAGCGTTCGTCTTCTTCACCTGCCTGGTGGCGTCCTCGGGCGGGCTCATCTTCGGCTACGACATCGGCATCTCCGGCGGGGTCACCTCCATGGACTCGTTCCTCAAGGAGTTCTTCCCCTCCGTGTACGCCAAGGCAGAGGCGAACAAGGACACCAACCAGTACTGCAAGTTCGACAGCCAGCTGCTGACGCTCTTCACGTCGTCGCTGTACCTGGCGGCGCTGGCGACGTCGTTCGTGGCGGCGTCGGTGACGCGGGTGTTCGGCCGCAAGTGGTCCATGTTCTGCGGCGGGCTCACCTTCATGGCCGGGTCGGCCCTGAACGGCGCCGCCACCGACGTGCTGATGCTCATCATGGGCCGCATCCTGCTGGGCGTCGGCGTCGGCTTCGCCAACCAGTCGGTGCCGCTGTACCTGTCGGAGATGGCGCCGGCCAAGCTCCGCGGCATGCTCAACATCGGGTTCCAGCTGATGACCACCATCGGCATCCTGGCGGCGAACCTGATCAACTTCTGGACGGTGAGTATCCCGGGCGGGTGGGGGTGGCGCATCGGCCTCGGGCTGGCCGGGGTGCCGGCGCTCATCATCACGGTGGGCGCGCTGGTGCTCCCCGACACGCCCAACTCCCTCATCGCTCGCGGGTACAACGACGACGCCAAGAAGGTGCTGGTGAAGATCCGCGGCACCGACGACGTGCACGACGAGTACGACGACATGGTGGCGGCGAGCGAGGAGGCGAGCGCCATCGAGCACCCGTGGCGCAACATCCTGGAGCGCCGGTACCGCCCCCAGCTCACCGTGGCGACGCTGATCCCGTTCTTCCAGCAGCTGACGGGCATCAACGTGATCATGTTCTACGCGCCAGTGCTGTTCCTGACCATCGGGTTCGGCGACGACGCGTCGCTGATGGCGGCCGTCATCACGGGGCTGGTGAACATGTTCGCCACCGTGGTGTCCATCGTGTGCGTGGACCGCCTGGGCCGCCGCGCGCTGTTCCTCCAGGGCGGCACGCAGATGTTCATCTCCCAGATCGTGGTGGGCACGCTGATCGCGCTGCAGTTCGGCACCGCCGGCGTGGGCGAGATGTCCCGCTCCAACGCCTGGCTGCTGGTGCTCTTCATCTGCCTCTACGTCGCCGGCTTCGCCTGGTCCTGGGGGCCCCTCGGGTGGCTCGTCCCGTCGGAGGTGTTCGCGCTGGAGGTCCGGTCGGCGGGGCAGAGCATCGCCGTGTGCGTCAACATGACGCTCACCTTCATCATCGGCCAGTCGTTCCTCACCATGCTGTGCACGATGAAGTTCGGCCTCTTCTACTTCTTCGCCGGGTGGATGTTCGTCATGACCACCTTCATCGCGCTCTTCCTGCCGGAGACCAAGGGGGTGCCCATCGAGGAGATGAACCTCGTCTGGAGCCAGCACTGGTTCTGGGGCAAGTACGTCACCGCCGACACGCAACACGGCGGCGGCAGCCGCAGATCCAACGGCGTCTGACTCTGATCGAGCTACAGCACCTCGGAAGCCGTGTGCACACGTGTAATCTAACAACGTAGCTGACCCATGCACACTGTCGAATTGCTTGACGTACAGGGCGGTCGAATGTCTCATCTGCATCGCCGACTGACTTTCCATTAAGATTGATTGTTGTTCATACTTCATAGCTGCAGGCACAGATTGATTTGGTATTGTTGTCGTTACTATTAGAGAGCGAGCGAGAGAGATTGGCTTTGGCATAGCATGCAGAATTGAAGCAGCTAGCGGTTCGTTGTTTGTATCCTTTGTACGGTATTTGACCAGGAAGTTAAGTTTGATCTAGGATTAATCCCTGCAAGGTAAATTCATGTTGTTGTGAAAACTTTTCCCAGATCTGTACGTACATTGTAGAAAGGAAATCCCTGCAAAGATTGTGTGCCCCGTAGTGATTTTTTCCTTAGACACTTACATATACTCTGTAGTTTTATAAGACACTTGTTGACGTCTAAGATGATCCCAAGCCAACACAGCAGAAGGGCCTTGGACGCCTAAAGAGGTTGCACACAACCCGCAACGCAGCAAGAACGCGGTGTAATCGATCAAACCGATCTAGAGACCGATGAAACCGATGTAGAGCCCGTTCTTGACTGAAAAAGCTCCCGAACTTCTCCCAGGAGGACCCATTGGGGAGAAGCACGTGGAGGATCTCCTAGGACCAGCAAAGCTGCCTAGGATATCGCTGAATCTCTCCGAAAAACTCAACGAATAGCTGGAGGGGTTGAGAGAGGGGAATTAGGGCAAAGGAGTTCATATGTTGTGTTTTTGACGATTAGATAGAAGGGATCTCAATCGGCCATGATCCTCTCATATATATAGAGGGGATGGTCTTATCCCAGTAGGAAACTTCTCCAAGCCCTATTTTTCAAGTTTCCCACGAGTTTGGAATAGTTCAGATCAGAATCCAAAAGGCCAGATCCAAACAGTGTTTTTTTGTTTAGGTCTGTCGGAAGTCCCGACTCGGGTTGGAACTCCCGATAGTCGGAACTCTAGACCTTTGTCGGAACTCCCGACGTGGGAATAACCCCAAACGCCCGAGCAGATTTCTTCAGGCTTCCCGAAAGTCCCGACACCTGTCGTTCCGACTGTCGGAAGTCCGGACTTGGGTCGGAACTCCCGACAACGGTGCATCTTTCCGGGGGTATAACTCCTTCATCCGAACTCCGATTTAGACGTTCCATATATGTTTTTTGACTATCTCCATGAGAGGAACGCAATGGTGAAGTCCATTCCACATTTTGACAACTTCACAAAATGAACAATTTTGGTTGTCAACATATGCCCCCCTGTTTTTAGGTGAATAATGCATAAACTTGAAAACACTTAATCAAATAAATTAAAACCAAACAGCGACAATACCCATCTCATCAGCTGCTCAGTAACTAAGGGCGATGCATACATCGACCATTTTTGTTCTAAGGGCGATACATATATCGGCCATTGCTTGGAGAGTATTAGGCTTCTTGCCAAACACTTGGAAAATACTTTTTTAAGTACCTCCCATTGAATGCTCTATTGAGACGTTCACCGTGCAATGTCTCTAGCAAATAAGAGTTACCGAATATGACTTTGATCACTTTGTAAGGACCATCCTAATTTGGTGACCACTTGCCAAACTGATTGCTCTTCGATCCAATTGGTAGTATGGTTTTCCATACTAATTCTTCCACTTGGAAGGATTTGCTCTTGACTTTCTTGTTGTATACTTTGGTAACTCGAGCTTTATCTTTCTCTATTTCCTTGAGAGCTTTTAATCTCACATCAGTCACCTCATCGATGTTATCCATCATCAAATCATGATACACAACAGCTGATAGATTATTTTGTTTAGCAAGCCTGTATGCATCCAAATTCACTTCGACAGGCAACATTGCCTCTTGACCATATACTAACTCAAAAGGAGTAACCTTTGTAGCACCATGCCTTGAAATGCGATGTGCCCATACAGCCTTAGACAAAACTTCATGCCACCTCCTTGGATTCTCCTCAATCTTCTTTTTAATGAGCTTGATTAAAATCTTATTACTAGACTCAGCTTGGCCATTGGCTTGAGCATAGTATAGAGATGAATTGAGCAACTTGATCTTATATAATTCGGCAAATTCCCTCACTTCTTTAAACACAAATGATGTCCCTTGATCCATAGTTAATGTTTGAGGATGCCGAATCTATGGATAATATGCTCAGTGATGAACTCAATTACCTCCTTGTGTGTCATATTCTTCAAAGGAACTGCCTTGGTCCACTTAGTAAAGTAATCTATAGCAACTAACACAAAACGGTGTCCCTTTGAAGATGGGGGATGTATTTGGCCAATGAAATCTAGCCCCCAACCACGAAAAGGCTATGGTTTGATAATAGGATGAAGCATAGCAGCAGGCACAAGCTGAATATTCCCAAATTTCTAGCACTCTTCGCAACATTTGTAGTAACGATAGTAATCGGCCATCATAGTAGGCCAATAGAAACCGGCTCTACGCAATAACCATTTCATCTTCATGGCCGATTGATGCGTACCACATATGCCTTCATGGACTTCTCCCATAGCCACTCTTGCTTGATCCGATCGCAAGCACTTAAGCAACAAATCTTCGGCGATTCTTCGATAGAGCTCATCATTATACAACACATATTTAAAAGCGCTCCGCCGAACATTCTTATCAATTTTGGCTTTAGGATCATGTAAATATCTCAATAAGGGAGTCCTCCAATCTTCTAAATCGGCTCCAACATCACTAGAAATTGCGTCGGGCCGATTTGGTAGCTTCTTGGGCGAATTGACCGGGCCGGTCACAAGGGAGTCGGCTGAGCCGACTGGGTCAGTCGGCTTAGGTGACTGGGAGGAGTCGGCCTGACCGACTAGGATAGTCGGCCTATCTGACATGGCTGCTGCAGGGGAGGAGTCGTCTAAGCCAACTTGGTCAGTCGGTTTAGCTGACTGGCCTATACCTTCATGGGAAAAATATAAATTTTCATGCATCGGTTGTTCTTGAATATGAAAATTATACCCACCGACATCATAGCCAGATGCTGTTGAGCTAGCATGTTGGCCTTTTGATTTTCATGCCTCGGAATATGCCGAATCCGAAATTCGACAAAATAGTCAATAACATCAAAACAAGCATCAAGACAAGCTCTTAGTGATCCTTCTAAACATCGAAACTCACCAGCAACTTGTTGTACCACTAGCAAGGAATCACCATAGGCTTCAACATGTTTTACCTCCATGGACCGCAACATGATCAACACAAATAATAGAGGTTCATATTCGGTTTGATTGTTGGTACAAGAGAAATCTAATCGACTTGACATCCCAACTTTAGCACCGTTGGGAGAAATAAGAATAATACCAACACCTTGGTCATCTTTACAAATTGATCCATCAAAGTATAATTTTCATGGAGTAAAAGTAAGGTAATTGACTTCATTATCTAAATCAATACCATGCTCAACAATAAAATCAGCAAGAACTTGACCCTTTAATGTTTTCAGTGGTTCAAAAGTCAAGTCATATTCTATTAGTGCGTATGCCCATTTGCCTATCCTTCCACGAAGAATTGGCCGATATAACATGTACCATATCACATCGGCCTGGCAAGCAACAACACATGTACTAGACAAAAGATAGTGTCTCATCTTAGCACAAGCATAGTACTGTGACAAGCATAATTTCTCTATATGGGCATACCTTGTCTCGGGATCAAGAAGACGGCGGTCAAGATGAGCAATCACATATTCTTTACCTTCGTCTTCTTGAGTCAAAACAGCCCCGATTATCTTCTCTTCAGCAGCAATATATAATTTGAAAGGAACTCCTCTTCTAGGTGCACGAAGAACCGATGGTGTTGACAAATATTCCTTTATTTTCTCAAATGCCTCTTGTTGGTTTGCCCCCAAGTGAATTTAGATTCATCCTTCAGCTTCAATATGGGGGTGAAAGGAATAATTTTCCCGGACAAGTTAGTAATAAACCATCTCAAATAGTTCACTTTCCCTAATAACTTTTGCAAGTCCCTCTTGCATGTAGGCGCCTGAACATTCTTGATCTTCCCTATCCTCTTGGGATCAACCTCTATGTCTTTATCATGAATTATAAATCCCAAGAACTTCCCATCCGATACTCCAAAAGCACATTTGAGTGGGTTCATCTTCAATCCATAGCGGTGCATCCTCTCAATAGCAAGACGCAAATCGGCCAAATGAGATTTATGGGCAGCCGATTTAATCACAATATCATCAATATATACCTCCATAATCACCCCTATTAGATCATGGAAAATCAAATTCATAGCTCTTTGATAAGTAGCACCTGCATTCTTCAGCCCAAACGTCATCACAACCCACTCAAAGAGACCAACAAACCCAGGACATATGAAGGCCGTCTTAGACATGTCTTCCCCGGCCATGAAAATCTGATTATAACCGGCATTACCATCAAGAAAGCTAATAACCCGGTGTCTTGAGGCATCATTGATAAGCATATCGGCTATAGGCATAGGATATTCATCTTTTGGAGTAGCTCTATTCAGATCTCTAAAATCAATACAAACTCTGATCTTCCCAGAATCCTTCTTCTCAACAGGAACAATATTAGAGACCCACTCCGCATACCTGCATGGTTGAATAAACCCTGCTTGTAATAGTCAATTAATCTCTTCTTTAATCCTATCATAAATTGTAGAATTAAATCGTTGGGGGTTTTGCTTGAAAGGCCTGAATCCTCTCTTAATGGGGAGCCGATGCTCAACAAGCACTCGGCTCAATCCAGGCATCTCTGTATAATCCCATGCAAAACAATCAACATATTCCTTAAGAAGCGTGATTAGCTCAACTTTGTAATCGGCTTTCAAGTTTTGATTAATAAACGTCGGCTGGGGCACAGAGCCATCCCCAATATCAACTTGTTCCAAAGGGTCGGCCGATGTAAAACCTTGGGCTAACTTATCGAGCTCATCAAAATCATCAATAGCTTCACAAGCATCGGTCTTATTAGCTCGATATTGTTCAACAATATGTTTTAACCATTCAACATTGACATCCATTATAATAATGATTACATGATGATATTGAGCTGATTATCAATCGGCTTCAAGAACATAGGAACAAAACCTTGTCTGGTAACACTAATAAATTCAAAGCTAGAAAGGTCTCTACCAAACAAATAAGCAATAGCATCATGCCTCCCGAGCATAGGAGCATCGGCTGTAGCAACATCAGCCGATGAATCTGAATGCACAACCTCAACAACATCTCCTACCCATTGGATGAGAAATTGGTGCAATCTAGATGGCACACAACGATTGGCATGAATCCAATCACGACCAAGTATGAAATTATAGCTACCTTGCACATCGGCGACGAAAAACACCGTGGCTAGAGTCTTGGTTCCAATGGTGAGCTCCATGTTAGCAACTTCCCTGGCCAAGATGGGAGGACCTCCTCCAACACTATTGATCGTCATATTGGTCTTAATCAACTCCTCATCAGTGCCACTGAGCTTCTTATAAAGCGGATATGGCATCAAGTTCACTATCGCCCCTCTATCCACCAACATGCTATGGACCGGTGTACCATTGATATGGCCCTTCACATGTAGAGGCTTGAGATGGTTGACGGAGTCATCTGGTTTTTAAAATACATCGCTCTCTATTGCAAAGTTAAACTCTATCACCGTGGAGTCATCTGCCACAATGTAGTAATCAGTAGACAAAACAACCACATTGACCTCCGCTCTCTCTGGGGTAGCCTCATAGTCAACCATCTCCTCGTTGGGAACCTTAGGAATCTCCATGCCGACCAGAGCAGCAATGGTAGTAGCGAAATCATCGAAGGACACCTCGGAAGTCGGCTTAGCTGACTCTGGAGCTTCTAGAGCAGCAGGGGCAAGCGAAGTCGGCTTAGCCGACTAGCTCAGCATTGGAGTCAGCTTAGCCGACTGGCCAACAGTAGCAGCGGTGTTTTGACCTTCTGGAGGGATTTCAACATGTCTGAGGTGGAAGATTTTATCTTCCATCTTGGCAAGCTTCTCCCTCTTCTGTTGCTTATGCAGGACATGCTGCAATTTGTGCCGTTGAGTTTTATTCAACCCACGAGGACACCATACGGGTTGCCGGTACTTGGAATCTCCTTCAACGCGTTTCTTCTCTTCAACTCCAGCAACATCATTAGGAGCTTCATCTTGCTTAGATGCTAGAATTTCTTCAATTACAATCGGCCCATCATGAGTAGTGATAGGAGCTTCCATGGAGCCAATTGTGATGACCGATTGAGGCCTAGCTCTTGGTGGGGGAATAGTGGGAACCTCAACCTTCTTAGGCACATAAACTTGCTGCATTGGTGCCCTTTCCTGATTCTTGTGGAGTCAAAGTCCTAGAAGTAATTACACGGTCTTGACTTGCACCACCGGAGCTCGATTGACCATTGTTCAATCGACTAAACACGGAGGTCCTTAGAACTTGACCAGCAGGCTCTCCCCACATTTGCTGACTTTGCATGGACACCGCCGAAGGATACGGCACCCAAACTCCATAGGGACCCCATTGTGGCATAACTGGAGGTGGAATCGGGGGACCCCAACGAGACACACGAGGAACAACTCTCTGAGGTTGAGCTGCTAGTTGCACCACCACCAATTGCTTGGACTTATCATCTTCTCGCTTAGGTGGAGTAGACTCTCTTTTTTTAACAGCCAATTCTAGGAATCGGCCTTTTGTTGCTTGTACTTAGTCATGAGCCTGTCAAAAGTGCATTGCTTCTTCACAAGCTCTCCCTGGTTCTTCTTCTCATTGGTCTTCCAGGTACCAATCTCCGGCCACTGTGGAACAAATGTGCGCAAAACATGAACATCGGAAGCACCGAGACTGCTGGAACTAGGGGAGTCGGCTAAGCCGACTGGGGCAGTCGGCTCAGCCGACTTGGCTGAGTTGTAGGTGGAGTTGGCTAAACCGACACCATGAGTCGGCTGAGCTAACTAGCTCTGTTGCATGGTGGAGTCGGCTTGACTGACTAGTGGAGTCGGCCTAGCTGGCCTCTGTTATGCCGCCGTTGCTTCGTACCACCACTGCCTTCTCAAATATTGTGTCGATCTAGCGATGATCTTCAACTAGTTCTTGCCTTCATCATCCTTTTTGAGCACCACCTTACACCCTGAATTCTTTTTGACATTCGGTGCTACACGTGGTTCGCCAATAATCACATTCTTGCCTTGAGTTGTATTGGCTTGCTCTGGACAAATCAAAACAGCGGGCGCCCCTGCTTCAACCATATGCATAGGAAACAAGACCTTATCAACTTGCATATCAGAAAGACTCAATCGTCCCTCATTAAGGGCCGATTGGACTTGTTGACGAAAAACATTGCAATCGTTAGTGGCATGAGAAAAGGAGTTATGATATTTGCAATAAGCCCTTCTCTTTAACTCATTAGCCTGAAGGCAATGTATAATTAATTCTAATATAACCGAATTTTAACAATTCATCAAAGATTTGGTCACATTTAGAGAAATCAAAAGTAAATTTCATTTTCTCATTTTGATTCTTATGAATCGGCTTGAGGGAAGGACAAGTAACCAATTTATTCTCTGCCGGCCATTAATTTTAGTAGCTAAAAATTCTTTATTATCATCATCAGAGCAGAATTATCATCAATAAAATGCACACCCTGATGATGTGACTTATAAGCATCATGAGACTCCTTAAGGCCCGATTCAATTGAAACGGCCTTTTGCATAAGTTGATTGACATTGTGAAACTCATAATGGTCAAGCTTTTATCTAATGCTAGAACATAAACCAATAAAGCATAAATCAGTTAAATCTCTTTCAGAAATATTTAAATAGAAACATCGGTTCTTAATTTCTCTAAACCGCTTGAAAAAATCATGCCCTTGATGAATCGATGCAAGGTGAGATAATCTAGTTTCATGAGTACCGCTATAAACATGATTATGAAATTTCTCTTCTAATTCAGCCTATGATCCAATAGAACAATATGGTAATGAAGTAAACCATGCAAAAGCTGTGCCAGTAAGAGATAAAGGAAAATTATGAACTTTCATAAAATCATAAGCACTAGCTTCACCCAATTGTTTAAGAAACATGCTAATATGCTCCATGGACAATTTACTATCATCACCACTAAATTTTTGAAAGTCAGGTACCCTCCACCCATAAGGTGCTTTCATGAAATCATAAGTAGAAGGGTACGGCTTTTGATAAGTATTCCTACTAGATTTAAATTGCACTCCTAAACTATTTTCAAGAGATTTAGCTAGTTCATCCTTAAACCAATTCAAAGCATCATCAAAATCGGTAGTAGGAGCATTCGGAGTAACATTAAATGTAGGAATTTGACTAGGTGACTTCGGTGGGTTCGGTAAAACATTATGCCCCACCAAAGTTCTATTTACTGATGCTCCATAATCATTTCGAAGAGCTCGACCCGAACTTTGTGCACCAGCACCTGTACGTGTAGATATACTAGCACCAGGTTGACTGGTCTTATCGGTTTCAAATACCAAAGGGGCCAATTAAAATTGGCTAGCAGATGCATGAGAGGTTTGATTTTCATAAAAAATTAAAGGATACCGAATTGAGGTTGTTGCATGACACCCGATTGATCACAATCGGTTGTCTTGCCCTCTAACTTATCCATACGTGCTTGAAGTATATTAGAAAGATGCTGAAGATTATTATTATGCAATTTCCTTTCATCTATCAACATCTGACCAAAATTAGCATGAATAGGATAAGCATCGGTATTTACCTCCTCATCATACTTAGCTTTTCCGTCTCCCTTCTCTCCAGCGCCTGAAGATGTAGAGGTTGTAGCATCACCGTAGATGGGTTCACGGAATTGAGTGACCTTGTCATGCAGATTTTTAGTGCAACTTTCCAAGAAAGCCTTGACATCGGCATCGAGCTTGGCCTAAAGCTTCTAATGCAACTTGTCTAGAAGTTCGTCCATGTTTTGAGGAAAGATCATGTTAGCCTCATTGAAGGGGGTGGTCTTGTCACCCTTGTCGGTGGCAGCACCATCGTTGCCTCCCATGTTGCTAATAGATTGATTCTTGATTTGCTTCGCTTTCCCTAGCGGAGTCGCCAAAAAGTATGTTAACATTAAAGATAATCCCAAGCCAACACACCAGAAGGGCCTTGGACGCCCAAAGAGGTTGCACACAACCTGCAACGTAGCAAGAACGCGGCGTAATCTATCAAACCGATCTAGAGACCGATGAGACTGATGTAGAGCCCGTTCTCGACTGAAAAAGCTCTCGAACTTCTTCCGGGAGGACCCATCGGTGAGGAGCACGTGGAGGATCTCCTAGGACCAGTAAGGCCGCCTAGGATGCCGCTGAATCTCACTAGGAAACTCAACGAATAGCAGGAGGGGTTGAGAGAGGGGAATTAGGGCAAAGGAGTTCATATGTTGTGTTTTTAATGATTGCATAGAAGGGATCTCAATCGGCCATGATACTCTCATATATATAGAGGGGGTGGTCTTATCCTAGTAGGAAACCTCTACAAGCCTTATTTTTCAAGTTTCCCATGAGTTTGGAATAGTTCAGATTGGAATCCAAAAGGCCAGATCCGAACAGGGTTTTTTGTTAGGACAGTCGGAACTCCCGACTCGGGTCGGAACTCCCGACAGTCGGAACTCCCGACGTGAGAATAACCCCAGACACCCGAGCAGGTTTCTTGAGGCTTCCTAAAAGTGCCGACACCTCCCAATTTGGGTTGGAACTCCTGACAACAGAGCATCTTTCCAGGGGTATAACTCCTTCATCCAGACTCCGAATTAGACGTTCTATATATGTTTTTTTGACCATTTGAATGAGAGGAACGCAATGGTGAAGTCCATTCCATATTTTGACAACTTCACAAAATGTACAATTTTGGTTGTCAACAACACTTTTCCTAATGGTCAGATGTCTGAGTTCTAGCTTTTTCTTCTGGCGACACCGTATGCACTCCTGCCTTGATTTTTCCTCCGTCAAGCTGAATCTCAGCCTTACATGCTCATGAGCCAATAGTGAAGATTGTTGCCTGAAAACATAAATATAGCAAGTTCCTTTATAAGAACATGGAAAAGTTTGTCCCATATGTACAAACCTATCAAACCATCACATCATTTGTTCAATCAGTTTATAAACCAATGCTTCAGCACACCCTAAAATGCGCTACTCTCTCCGTCCCAAAATAAGTGTCATTCTCATTTCCCGAGGAGTCAAATGCTTTTAATTTTGACCAAATATATAAAAATATATATTAATATTTATAGTATATAATTAGTATCATTAGATAGATCATTGAATCTATTTTTCATAATAAACTTATTTGAAGATACCATAGCGACACTTATTTTGGGACAAAGAGAGTATGTTACATGAGTATCAATATTTTTTGGATAATCAAAATTATTATCTTTACCCCCCCTCTCTCTCTCTCTTCATTTCGTAACAGATTGTGATAACTTTACCAATCACTCTATATGTGCTTTCATCATTTGCATTGCATCTATGTGGTTTTTTATTTGTACTAGCAAAAATGTGCCCATGTGTTGCGAAGGAACCCAATACATATTGGAATTGGATTATGTATCATCGCTGGACGCAAGTTGTTCTAACTAGTATGAGTATGGCTCATGAATCTGGGTACATACGAGACACAGAGGGCGTGACCCCAATACATCTTATTGGAATCAGGTTTCGTATCTATCATCGCTAGATGCAAGTTGTTCTAGCTAACTCGTATTGTGAGAACGGATCATATGAGTTCGGGTCCCATATGGCCATATGAGACATGGAGGATGTAAGCGGGACGAAAGAAACTCTTCATTGCTCGGATAGTTAGGGAGTGGTGGATGGAAAAAAATGAGTGAAGAGAAATTTTGCTTCTTTAAAATAGAAGTATAGATTTAGTTGAACTCTTAGCTTAAGTCATATAGCTATAGTCATATGTTTTTATGGCATCATGAATTTATATTTTATATTTCAACTTTTGATCTTGTTAGTTGTCATAATTTGTTATCTCCATGTAGCTTCATCTTGAAATACAATCCATTATGACTTCCAAAATTTATACTGAAATATAAACGTTCTATATAGTGCGTATGTTAAGATTTGGCAGAGTTTGTTAAGAAGAAAATCATGATTTAATAAGCACTATTTAATTGGGTCCAATAATCTATAGGTATATAGTTATTTGAGCATTTTTTTACGTTGTCTTAAAACTTTAAGAATTTATTTAATAATTAAAGGACGGAGCAGTTGTTACTTCAATTTTTCATCTTATTGTTGTTGTTGTGCATGATGACGATGATGATAATTTTCATGTTT